CCGAAGTAGTCTAACTAGAAGTAGCATGAAAACAGATGGGTCTGCGCATGCACAAAGAAAAAAAGACCTCCTTGATACGGACATGAAATCTGCGTAGTTTTTTTCAAATATTATTCTAAACTTCCTGAGAAATCTTGAATGATTCCTTTGCACATTTTGGAAAATAAACGTTATATCTTTGGCCGATTGCAGTTCTGATATTTTCAAGGACAGATAGTACAAATCCTTTGCACTTCGTTAACTTTCAATCTGTCTGGGTCTATCCAACGTTTTGTCAACTCAGAATGTCTGAGGCAATCCGTGTCTGAGCATGACATCGATAAATTTTAATTTCTTTCTTTTTTAACAATCCTTTATTGGCTGATCAGAAATGCTACAATATCGTGCTTTTGAAATGTAAAATAACTCTTAGATAAATATAAAAGACGACTTCATTTAAGTCTGTTATTCCCATATTATACCATCCTTTTCAATCTAATAAAACGAATATAGATATTTTTTGTACTGGTTTTTTTTTTACAGTTCGATGTTCTACTATTGTCATGAAAAGCAAGTTGATACTCTATTCAGTGAAGTAACATATTAAATGTTCTTTATCTAGGACACAGACATAATTCTTAAAAGAATCTTTAAGAAGATATTTACCAGGTTAGTTAGTTAAAAAAAACTAAGTTGATTACAAATACAATTTGGATCAAAATGTAGTACATTGTAATATATAACAAAATAGTTCCCCACTAACTATAGAGTGTACAAGTTTTAAAAAAAAAAGGAAGCAAAAAATAAACATTTTGTGGATATGAATTAAAGAGATTTTGGGTATACGCCCATGAGATAGCAACCGAACGATGCATATAACCAAAAGACATCTATAGAGGGTAACACAGAGTCTTCAACAAAATACAGGTATTTATAGAATATGTCTAACTCGTAATCGTCCCGAGTCTAAAAAATAATAAAATTACACAATGGTAATTTTTGGCAGAGAAATATACACATATATTTTCAGAAAAAGGGAGAAGGTTTGGTACCATTAAAACGTTTAATCCCGCTGCAAATGTTTGCACCTGTCCTAAGTCAGGAATCTGATGGTTTGTTGATGTGGTTCATAAGTGTTTCTCGTTTCTCGTTTTTATATAGATTAGACCGTTAGTTTTCCCGTTTGAATGGTTTTACACTAGTAATTTTTGGGGCCCTTAATAGCTTGCTGTTCCGTGTGAGCCAATGCTTCGTGTTGAAGGCCGTACCTTGACCTATACTTTTATAAATTGTTACTTGGATGGAGAGTTGTCTCGTTGGCACTCATACCACATCTTCCTATATCTACATATATGTCTCTGTTTTTGGCTAGGGTATTGGCAACCTAAGTAACATTCAACAGTTCTGTTAGCTGAGAACTTTTGAAAACTGTATGTAATAGTGTTGAAACATATAACCTAGTATGCAGATGGTATTATTATCGGAAGTAAAATTACACAAGCAGTGATAATGACCAAGTGTTAAAGTAATTCAATTTTCCTATTTGTATGCATCCGATGTGTATTTGGTGATTATATAGAGAACGCTCAGAGCAAAAATTGGTGCGATCAAAGAAAAACAAATAAAGGGGTCTATATATAAATAAAAGGACCTCAAAAGAATTGCCAAAAACAAGGTCAGCTTAAATCTTGCCTGAGGTAGTTGAAACCTTTAGTGTTCGTTAAATTTATCCCATGAGAACTTACAAATCATCGTCATACCGACATTTGATTCATACCGACATTTGATGATACCAACATTTGATGAAACCATCGTGAAATCAACACTTCACCAGCAGTGGTGCCGATTTTGTAAATCAATGTATAACGAACGGTTTTTAGGTGGGGTTTTTTTAGAGTCCCATTCAGGATTAGTCTTCACCAGCAACGCTTACAGCTAAATTTTGGTAGCAAAGATGCGAAGATAAATGGGGAGTAGTAACCAAAAAGAGGCTAAGTTTAAACCATCTAAGGTCAAACCTTCTCTGAACGAGTCTTTAATGAGATTTGGTCAAGTTTAAGACGGAATTTATCTGCACATACTTAAAAAAAAATTTAGTGAAAGAAATTAATAATGCAGAATAACGATAAAAGACAAAGAGGTAATTTCAGGAATTAACATAAAAAAATAAAGAGTACATAGTTGATGTGTATTCGTGAGTATTTTCCAAACTTAGATTAGACAAACAAATATAGTTGTGTTTCCTGTCTTCATACGTACCTGATATTTACATGCCTAGCCTAATACATTTTATGAACATTTTTGGTTAAGCGCCGTAAAGGTCCAGAACATTTCCCTATATCGTGTAAATAGTATGCGAGATAACAAAAAATATCTATACTTTGGAAAACAGAACTGCTTTTAATATATTTACACATATTAAGGACTTTTTTTACATTCAAAGAAAACCAGGATTAGTAATTTAATTTCAAATTTACTGCTTAGCCGAATGTTTATAATGATGATAATTAGAAAAGTAGCCTTCAGTGATTTTCCCATATGATTTTTTTTACCTGTGTAGATTGATATTTTCATCTTACATCATATCATGAATACAATGTGAAAAGTCCTCGACTCTTAAAATTTAAGATATGTCAAAAATTTAATAAATCTGATGAATCGTTAATTGACGGAATCTCATTCGGCAATTAGATTTGATAAAAGATAAGCAGGTGCATGCATATAATGTTATTAGAACTTAATAAACTGAGAGTTTGTGTAATTTCAGTTTAATATACTAGTAATAAAATTGTATTGTAAATGCCCACCTTTTTTAAGACACCCTCCCTCCGCCCGCGACAAAGAGTCGGAGGTGTATCCATTGCCCCCTGCCAGTCCGTCCGTGCGTCCGTCCGTCCATTAACTTTGCTGAAATCTTTGCATTTTTACCCAAATTTGTAAAGTTCTGTGAACTTTGACCTTGTATTGACTGAAATATTTCTTTAAACTTTAAAAAGAAAACATAGTTAATATCCTATGAAAAGTTTATAATAATGCTTCCCTCGTGCACATTTTTGGTCTCAATCGAACCTGGTGTAGGGTATTCAAGTGGTGTGCGTATGTACTTCAAATCAAATCTAAAAGCTGAGAAAATCTAACATCTACGTAATTTGGTCTCTGGTTGGAAGTTTTTTCAACAATTTTACATATACATCAATTACATTAAAAGGTTATTCAGTAATATGCATTGCTTTTAAAGACAATTTTGATACAATATTCCAAATTTGGCAAGCTAATTGTATACTTTTTTTTACATCGAAGGGCATCCATCACCAGACTGAATTGATTTGTATCTGAAAGGCAATAAATAACTTTACTACAGATAAAAATATTGGTTTTGGTTTAAATTGATTTTCTTATTCATCTTTTTTTTTTAAATATTAAATATTTGCCTAAATTTTTGAAAATTGTTGTTCGAGCAATCTTTTTCAGCATTTATTTTAATGTTGTTTTATATTCAGGAATACGACTTAATATTGATTTAATAACCCAAAAGTTATGAGAGCTCTGTGTTAAATATTAGTTAAGATTGAAAGACATTTAGTGCGAAACTGATTTTTTCAAAACTGCATCACAAAATAGAAAATTTAGTAAGAAAATGTTGAGACGAATTTTTTCAACTCGATCAATGACTTGACAATAATTCTTTTACCGAAGTTTTAGAGAGAAAAAAATCCGCAGTCCCCGTCACTTGTAAATTGGTTAGTGCCTGAATTATCAAAGATGAAACAATATACTTTTGATAGTTCGTTTTTATATACGGCGGTGCATTTTCAAGTGTCTTCAATCTTAAAATACAGGGTTACACAACATTATTTTCGCGTCAACTTCATTCAAAAATAATTTTCGAGGTCCTTGATATAGTATATTTTTTGCGAAAAAAATTAAATGTTTTAATAAGTTAGGAAACGCCCATCTTGTACTTGAATATTCTCGTATATCAAAACCATGTCAAACCAAGGCCAGCTGTATTGGTTATTATAGGATATTAAAGCAATTTAAGAATTGAACTGTCATTCATTGAAATGGAAATGATTTGTTAGCAATGATAGTAGTCTAACTGTCGTACCCCCTGTATTATGTTATTGTTTGTATAACATTTAACTCCTATGGCTAGCGTTCACCCATTTAGAACCTATTATCATTTGAAAGTGTACACCGGTACTCCCAACTTACAACTTTAAAAGGTTTACCTGAGCATCTAAGTCACTTTCCCACGGTTACTAAACTTGTCGCATTGAAATGAATTTTGTGGGTTGGAAAATGTCCATTTCAAAATACTGTATTCTATTTCAATAATTCAGTTAATCTACTAGTATGAAACATATGAGCCTAGTTTTATCTAAGAAAAATAAAGACAATATTTAACAATCTCATTCACAGTGCCTCTGTTGTGATGGAATTCGTGAGCATGCAAGTAATGTCTTTGACTGTTTGGCGTCATATGGCGTTATGGATTGGCGTTAGGGGAAATTGTAATCCCCGGCATGTCAAAAGTTCATTACAATTAACAGCTACATTTAATTAATTCATATATTCATTTATATATTTCCTCCATTCAACTTACCATCATCAGGGACGCTTGTACCCACCCAAACAATTGAAAGCCGAGTATGTATGTAACTACCTAAACCCGCGAAGAGCTATTTATCAAAATCGAAATGTTTCTTCCAGTCGAAACACAAACATATATTATACAGAACTAGAACCGATTAGCCTGTATTAACAGTTAAAACTAATAAACTCAAAATAAAACGATTGCTTTGATTGTACAGTAAATTACGGCATTATCTAGCATTCGTGGAGTTTTCGGTTACACAGTGTCCCAAATTTTTTGGGGCAGTCGAAAGAAAAAAAAACACATTGGCTTAGGTGTACATGGCACAAAGAATAATCCATATTTTTAGAGACCATGTATAACAGGCTTTGTTGTTTGTATATCATGTATATCTACCCTATAGCCATAAAAATATTGAACTTACCGTCCAAGCAAACTCGAAATGTAGCTTTAGTCTGCTATTGGTACTCTCTATCGGATATGTGAATGAATTCCCGCCAAATACTGAACTCGTTATATTTCCAAAAGTACATTTTCCATCAAAAGTTATAACACTTTGGTATTCCTTTAAACACACGCGAAACATTGTGTTACATTCCTTAACACACCTATTGTTCCCGTCTCTGTCCCCTTCACAACACACACCCTCCATCACTTCCCCGCGGGGATTGTGAATAGTTGTTATCTGTATTTCAAAATAACCAAATCCTTGTACAAATTCTAAAATAACAGTCACAATATTCAAATAGAAGAGGAACATATTTTATAAACTTATAAATGGATTGCATACATGTATTAGTTTTACAAACCATTAAACATGTTAGCAAAGTTGCACTCGGGTGAAATACAAGCACATATCCACAAAAATCTTCGAAAACCATTCCTACAAACAAATGCTGTTGGAAATCCTGTCCGTTTGAAGTTCCCGTATCTCACTTCCATTTAAGTATAAGGTTTTATGCAAAATAAATCCAACATTTTCCTCGTCAATCATGAAGTTGTATTTAACTGTTGAAAATGTGAATTTACAATTAAATCTGTCATCGTTTTTAGCTGTGTCCAACAACAAAACACTTTTTACAAACTGTCCCGGTAACGTTTTATCTCACATCACCATGTGTTACATATTTGTAGAGTTTTTATCAAAAGTTTTACATATTTACTACAATCAAGATCTCGTAGTAAAATCGTAGTATTTATAGTAATCCAAACCTAAGTATAGATTTTTCTTGGCACGCGTTGTTCGCGCGACTGCACGACTCGGACATATCCAGTTGTAATTATATTGAATTAGCACACAAGGCAGTATCCAATGATTTTTTCAGAAATACATCGGTATATTGATTGAAAACCACACAATGTCACAAAATAAAGGCTCATTTAAAGAAATTATTATCAATATTATATTTTTTTTTCTATTGAAAAGATCACATATGTTTCACTTAATCACCAGTTGTATCTTCTTGATACGGCAGGTCATTGGAAATAATTTAAAAGATCGACGAGCGATATACTATCCGTGACTGACATGTTGCTATTCGAACTTTATCACTTGTTAAATAATTTCAAAAGCACACGACACAAATTTTGATTGTTCCTTTTAATGTTAAAGAATTTTTCTTTCGATCGTGGGAAAATCTCCTAGTACACCTGAAGAAATTTGTCATGCCCAGAATCTTGTTATCTTTATTAATATAACATTTAATGCACCTTAAATTATACCTGTAATACATTTCATGCCTCAGTGATAATGATGTTTAAATAAATTCATGTAATATATATACAATATAATTCAATGAGAGCGAACATATGCGATTCATTTGACGTTTTGTCTGATTAAAAAACCTAACAGTGCATTAACCTTTGTGTAATTTTAAAGCAAAAAAATAAAATAAAAATTCAAGATTAAATAAAACTTCTCATGCATCAAGTACTGTTTTTCGTTTAAATATATTGGATCCTATTGCAAGTATTAAACCCAATCTTCTATTTTAGAATTTGAATGACATATCCGTTGATATTTGTCAATGACATTTTACTATTTCACGTACAGAGCCATATATGATATCTAAATCAGGTCACTATTTGCACTGAATTCAATAATTAAAAAGTCAAAAATTACAATGATGTTGAATATTGCTAAGATTTTGATTATATAAATAATAATATTTAATGTATTCATTAACTTGTAATCCTCATATCGGAGACCTATGTAGAAAAAAAGCTTTAAAAGGAGAAATTTAAGATCCTAGCTTACTATCATTCATCCTAAAGAATGGTTTGAATATTTAAATAAACTAATGAATATTAATTATGATAAGAATGTACTTTTAAAATGATATGAAAACTTATACTGCATTTAAGGATTATATCAATGAGATTTTAAACAGTTATAAAACAGGTGAGGAGGTGGTTATTGCAGTTAAAATCTTTAAAGAATAATAAAGCGAGTTGTTTAGATTGTATTACAAATGAAATATTGAAAACATCATGTAATATGAATATTGTTGTTTATGTAAAATTATTTAATCTTGTTCTTAAGTTTGGTATTTATCCAACTTTATGGAGAGAATATTTTATTATGTCTATTTTTAAGGGTGTGTGTTTCAATGATCCATCTAATTATCGAGGTATAGCCTTTTCAAGTTGAATATGAATTTTTTTCTAAGAGTTTTATATAGCTGATTAGAAAAAATATATCTGTCTTGAGCAAATTGGATTCAGAAAGGGAAGTTGAACAAAAGATCATGTGTTAACTCTTAAAACTATAATTGATAAAGCGTTTGAAACGTCTAAGAAGATATATGCCACTTTATAGATTTTAGGAAGGCATTTGATACTATTAACAGAGATGCCCTCTTCTACAAATTATCTTATTACAGCATAAACGGTCCCTTTTCAGTATAATGAAAAATATGTATATCGGTGAAGATCTGTGAAGGTGTTTCCGCGACTTTTTTAATTCCACAGTTGGGATGAAACAAGGATGTATCTTAAGCCCTACATTATTTTCTTTCTTGATTAATGATTTATCCCCTGGATTCTGAAAATTCTAATGGCCTACAAATGTGCCCTGATAAGCTAAATTTGCATTGCAGTAGTTGGGATTTGACAGTAAATCTTGATAAAACCAAAGTTATGATTTTGAACAAATTTGGTGAATAGCTTACTAAAGACAAGTTTATATTTAATGATAATGTTTTGGGACATTGTACAGAATATAAACATTAGGGTATAGTGTTTAAACCCTCTGGTATTTTCATTGAGGCTGCGAGTCTTCTTTGTGAAAAAGCCTAAAAAAGTGGGAGGTTTAGCTAGCTATAAAATCAGGTTTGACCCACCACTTCCTCAGAAAATGCCTGTACCAAGTCAGGAATTTCAGTTTTTTTTCTATTCGTTCCCTAGGTTGATATAGTCGAGCGCTTGATTTTGTCAGGTTTAATGGACTACTCTCTGTTTTTTTAATTTACCTTGGAGTTTGGTATTTTTTTCATATTTTTTTTTGGTATTTGACATGTTATTTTTTGTGAAGATAATAATGTATCACCTCATCTAAAGCTTTTTGATACTTGTTTTAGACCTAGACTTCTTTCTTGAAATGAAGTTTTTTCTGATTATATGATTTAAGATATTACAAGTCTCGAATAAAAATATCGGTCATTGGTACCCATTAAAATTCAAACTAAATTTGCAATAAACTTTGATTGCAGTAAATAAAACAGCGGCCAATTTGGCAGTATTAGCTGAACTTGGTGTGTATCCTGTTTTAATAAAAGCCTTAAAACTCTTAATTGGCTTCTGGTTGCATTTGCTAAAATCTTATGATAATTGTTAACTGAGAGATGTATATAGTTCAAACCTGCAATTACCAAATGGGTTTACTAGAAAGATCGAACATTTACTTGCTACATTAAATTTTTCACAAAGGCGTTTATTGTACGAAATCATACCAAACTTAAAGATACATATTTGGATTATTGGAAAGAAAATGTGATAATAAATCTTTGAATGGTAATAAGGTACGAACAGATAGACAGCCAAAGAAAGTTACCAGTTTGAAACCTGTTTAATGTTAAGCATTGACCAAAAAGTGATAGAAATGTTGTTAAGAGAGGCGAAATATACCAAAGGGATAATCAAACTCATAAGTCGAAAACGAACTGACAATGCCATGGCAAAAAACGAATAACGACCAAAAGACAAACAAGAGTATACAAAACACAGCATAGAAAAAATGTCTGCAGAAGTAATAGTGTCCTTAAAATTAAAATAGGTCGATATACTTAAGCTCCTTTAGAAGAGAGAACTCGTCCCTTGTGTCGTTAAGATGTAGACGGCGAATTTCATTTTTACTATAAAATGTACAAAACTAAACGCAATCATAGAACAATCATTTTCTGAAATTAATGAAATTGTATGACTTATTATCTAATTCGACAGACCAATGTTTAATTTTCTCAGTGTGTTATTGGAATTTGTTCCAAAATTTGATGCGGATCTTCCATTTCTTGTGACAAAGAAAATTTCCTACAGAGCTCTTGGCGCAATTTTTTTTTCAATTGAAAAACTAGGGAGCGAAATTATAAAAAATATATTAAAGGCACCGGCAATTCATATCTTGTGAGGGGAATTAAACTGCTTGATTCTAAATTTCTTGAAAACAAATGTTTCAGGAGGGAAGTGAAAAAAAAAGATTAGTTTGTTTTTATCTAAAATTATCAACATTGATTTAAAACAAAATTGTTCCTGTAAATAGTTTGTTTTGTGTGGCTAAATTTTGTAAAGTCCACTTTTGGGATGGTTATGGGAAATGATTCATAATGTTTGTAGTGTATTGATTTGCGAAGTCTTTGGAACTTTGATATAGACGACGTTCTCAAAACCAATCAAATAAGATGCATCCAACAATGACAGAAAAAGAATGCTTCCAAGCACAATGCATTAAAGGGTATTTGAGCTAAACAGAATGATCTGTTATCTTTAAAAAAACATTGTCTATCAACATTCCAAAAAAACTAATCACTTTCAAACTGGAATAAAATTCAGTTAAGGATGTACTTAGGTGAGGTTTATGAATTTTTGTCAGATGTTTGGACCTCTTGGCTTTTTTCCTACGATACAGGGTAAAATAGTTTGCCCCATATCACCCACTTTTCTTTTCATAGAACACTTCAATAGCTCATACAAAAGTCATTACCAAAATATAAGCAGATTCTTGATTTTTTTTCTTACGATTTGAGACCTAAATAATAATGCCACTAATGTTCTTCTGACTTAAAGGGGCACTAGCTGTCAAATTCATGTTCACCGATTTGACTCAAATTCTCGTATTTGATTTATAACAATGTAAAACATTTATCCAAACTATTAAAAGTCTAAAATAAACAGTTAACAGGATATGGGCATGATAACAAGTAGCTTCGTTTCGTGTGTATTTTAGTCTAGACGCCATCTAATTAACTATCGAGTTGACCTCCAAAGTCATCCGATGACCATATAAGCGATGTAAACATAAATAAAGATATAAATATATTAAGCGAACTCGTGCTATTGGATTTTTCTAGGTCTGTTTAATTTCATATTATAGATTAAAAATATATGTTTATCATCGTTTTTACCTGTATAAGAATGATTTTTTGTGGATCGGATCAGTCAATCAAATGATTTACCTTTGTTTCACTTTCAATGCTGACATTCTTTTCCTTTAAATAACTTTACACATACAATTCACGTGTTATCCATCTCTAGCTAAGGGGTTAAACTGAAGTTCACACGAATACGGATTCAATGAGGTCGAATTATTCACTTGCAAGTGAATAATTCATCATCAATGTTTCTTATCTTATTTTGACAAAATTGAACCATACTGGCGGCTAAAAGCGAATAATTATTTCATTATTTCACTTTCATTAATGATTGAATGAAAAAAAAAATCATATATTAGATTTTTTATATATCTCGTCGCTAGTGCCCCTTTAAAGTATCAATTTTAAATTCTAGATTTTTTTAAATTCACCTATGTACATCCTTAAATAATAAAACATATTTTTGTTAAATAAGGATAGAAAATTTGTATGGCCAAAACCATGATGAAACGACAAACAAGAGGCGGCAGTAGTTAACCGATTCTCAAAAATCAATGAAAAGAAATGAGAAAATCACATGATCTCCAAACGGAGCAAGACTAGGCGCGTCGACAGAGTAAACGTCTACTATGCATGCATTAAACACCATGTGAATACAGACTCTTTGAAAATGTTACAATAGGGAACAGAACACAATTATCATATTTTTCAGATCGTTCGACTATTCTGGTGTCTTAACATCTAAACAACGAAAAGTTATCTCTCGTTAGTTGAGACACAGAAACATCGTATCGGCTAACATATTCTTGATCGTAACCATGAAATGAGTGTATCGTCGCATTTAATCTATCTTTCTCATAATCCTGCTGAAAAAAAGTAAAATCACAAAAATACTGAACTCCGAGGAAAATTCAAAAAGGAAAGTCCCTAATCAAATGGCAAAATCAAAAGCTCAAACACATCAAACGAATGGATAACAACTGTCATATTCCTGACTTGGTACAGGCATTTTCTTATGTAGAAAATGGTGGATTGAACCTGGTTTTATAGCTAGCTAAACCTCTCACTTGTATGACAGT